GGCAGAGGGTGTGGGAAGTAAAAAAGCTGCATTATAGCTGGTACCCAAAGCCTTTAATCCCAGCACTCAGGAAGCAGAGGTAGGTGGATCTCTGTGAGTTTGAGGCCAATCTGGTCTACAGGAGCTAGTTCCAGGACAGTTAGGACTGTTACACAGAGAAACCCTGTCTTGAAAGACCAAAACCAAACCAAATCTAACCAAACCAAATCAAACCAAACCAAAACAACAAAACAAACAAACAAAAAATCTGCATGATATAAGTTGGGTTTCTGTTAGGAACAGAACGAAGGTCAGTGTAGGTGGATGTACAGGAAGGAGAGAAGTGTACTGCTCAATCCCAGTTCCTTATGGCGTGTGAAGAACTTGTGTTCTAAGGCATGATGGAAAGATATCGGAGGGTTTCTAGGCTTTGGGATGAATTAAATAGTGTGTGTGTGTGTGTGTGTGTGTGTTTATATGGTGTGTAGAGACCGGAGACTGACTTCTGGTATCTTCCTCAATCATTTTCCACCTTATCTTTTGAGACAGGCTCTCTCACTGAACCTGGAGTCGGATCTCTGATTTGGCTAACTGGCTGGGCAGTCAGCCCTAGGCATCCTCTTGTATCTGCTACTTTTGGCTGTTGCCTCCTCCTCCTCTTTTTAACATGGGTGCTGGAGTTTGATTCATATCCTCATGCTTGTATAGACTGAGCCATGCATTTAGCTCAAATAAATAATTTTTATTTTATTCTTTTAATCAAAACTGTATTTTGGAAAACTTGTAAAAAATGCAGTGAGATTAGCCAAACTGAAAGTCTTACAGATGTCAGTGAACATCTGTATAGACAGAATAGCCATTCTGAAGCCATGGGGCTTCACTTTGGATTATAATCTTTCACCATCATTTACATTGTTATGTACTTATCAACCCTCCCCCCTACATAGGAGAGACAAATACATGACAGAGCTAAAACTAGAAAGTCCCTTTATTTCCCCTTGTGTGACACTTGTCTTTACCTGCATTCCCTTTCTGTCTTCAAGTGTTGCTTCCCTCTTTTGGAAGCTTGCACGGTGCCTTCTGGTACTATGAACTCTAGTCCTCAGGACTCTGACCAGGAGCTTCAGGAAGGATTCTCATTCCTGGAATTAGAGTTTTTGTTGGGGGAACATGGTCAGCGCAGATAGGAAGAGTTCATTTAAACTGTGAGGAGAATAACAGTGTAAAGTGACTTGAAGGGAGAAACAGTGTGAGGGGAACTTTAATTTGGAAGAGGTAGGGAGATAAATACAGGAGAAAGGCACAGGGGTTAAACTAGCAGTAAAGATATCTGAAAAATCATAGGGCATTATATTATTGTCTGTCTACCTAAAATTATGTAGAATATATATAAGTAAATCTATGTAAGAATTACATAGAACATATATAAATAAAAAAATACATATATGGGTTTACTTTTGGACACCAGATGGACTCCTGATCTTGGTGACAGGCATATTTACATTGACATTCTATTGTAGATAACATTTTTAAGTTATGGCAAGAAATTGATGCTTACATTGTACTTGGTATTGTCAGTCCAGCTTGACAAACATTTTCTCAAAACCTGCTTGAAGGCAGCCACTGTGGCAGGCATAGCACTCACCAACACAAAAGCTGTGGTCTGCACCCAAAGGACTTGTAGAACAGCAAGAGCAAGACAGAGCAAGTAATAGAGATTGATAAGTTAGCAATGATTCATGAATAAACAAAGACAGTGAGATAATGAGTGCTGGGAGGAAATGGCTGGTTTTGTTTGGCTGTGTGGTTGGTGATGAAACTGGAGGTGATCTTTATAGAGTATTAATATTGAATGTGATTTGAACTGAGGGTTACACTCCCCTGGAACTTCTGCGAGGACAAGAGAGAGAACATAATGTAGACGTAATGATGTTGGCATGGTCTGTGACAACACAGGGCACACATTCTTAGCATACATTGCTTAGGGCGGGAGATGAAGACATAGATGGAGCCGAGGCTCTGTCAATGGAGTAGGAAATAGGAGAGGTGCATGATGTGTGAGCCACAGTACAGGATGCTCCTGTGGGTATCATTACTCACATGGTAAGAGATGGGAGTCGAAGGAGCTGGGAAGGTGAGATTGCTGTAGGCAAGAGGTAGGAGGGTTATCCAATAAGATTCTGAGGAGACAGATGATATAACTGTGTCTAAATCAGGAAGCCACTGTGCAAAGAGGCTAGTGTGGAAAGGAAGAACTAAATGCCCAAGAGGTGTCTGGAGCAGCTGTACATGAGGTGGGCGCATCAAACAGGACAGGAGGCGATGTGTGTGTGTGTGTGTGTGTGTGTGTGTGTGTGTGTGTGTGTGAGAGAGAGAGAGAGAGAGAGAGAGAGAGAGAGAGTAAACCTAGGGCTTGTTTCCACCTTATTTTCAATTGATGCTCACTGAACGTAACTGAGTACAGTGCTTCAGTCTTACTCTTGGAAACAGGCATTCAGAAGACAGATACCTGCTTCTGCTGTGCACATGGAGAAGGAGGTAGTCCTTACCTCTAGAATCTCCCTCCTCCAGAGGCTGCAGGACCCTCTTCCTGCCTCCAGAGTGGCAATTTTTCACTCATCTCATGCAGTTACACATCAATCAACTTCTTACAATGTGCCCCATCCATTCAAAAATCCAATCTGTAGTATTTAGTAGTGTCTATTAGCACAGCGCCACCATCTTTTAATATTTTCAAGTAGCATTTAATGGCTTGATAAATGCTCATGATATAATTTTAAAGTGGATAGTGGCTTATAAATCTCAAGTTTTATTTGTATGTGTGTGAGAGAGTGAGGGAGATGAAGAAAAGGAAGAGGAGTAAAAGGAGGAGGAGGGGAAGTTGTAAAAATGTTGGGACATCTGTCTCTGGGCCATGAGATATTGGAAGGGTGTTTATTTCCTTCATTTTCTAGCCATAAACAAAGGACATTGAGCCTATAATTAGTGATCCTAGAGAAGCTAAATAAGGAGAACCCAAAGAAAAACATATAGGCATCCTCCTGAATATTAACCTTCATCAGGCGATGAAAGGAGACAGAGACAGAGACCCACATTGGAGCACAGGACAGAAATCTCAAGGTCCAAATCAGGAGCAGAAGGAGAGAGAGCACGAGCAAGGAACTCGGGACCACAAGGTGTGCACCCACACACTGAGACAATGGGGATGTTCTATTGGGAACTCACCAAGGCCAGCTGGCCTGGGTCTGCAAAAGCCTGGGATAAAACTGGACTTGCTGAACATAGCGGATAATGAGGACTACTGAGAGCTCAAGAACAATGGCAATGGGTTTCTGATCCTACTGCAGGTACTGGCTTTGTGGGAGCCTAGGCAGTTTGGATGCTCACCTTACTAGACCTGGATGGAGGTGGGGGTTCCTTGGACTTCCCACGGGGCAGGGAACCCTGATTGCTCTTTGGGCTGACGAGGGAGGGGGACTTGATTGGGGGATGGGGAGGGAATTGGGTGGTGGGGAAGAGACAGAAATCTTTAATAAATAAATAAATTTAAAAGAAAAAAAATAAAATACATCTGTTGACAGTTTGTAGCTCTGCTTGACAGAGGTAGACACTGACAGTGACTGTGAGTTCTGAGAACACGTTCTGTTGTTATAATAAATTATAGAGCATCCTGTGTTGTCTCTTTGTAAAGAAGCCCAGTAAGTCATAGCTACAGTCTGTGCATCTGTCATCTAAGAAAGGAATGTGAATTGTGCCTGAGTTTCCATCCCTCCTCACTTCTCTTCCTCCCCTATATCTTTCCCTGGCTCTGTCATCTCCAATTTCCCTACATTCCGCTGTAATTCTACCTATGAGACCCCAGGCCTCGGGCAGCTTGTGGGGGTCAGTTTCTCTCTGGTTGTTGGGCTGTAAGCAGTCATAGGGAACAGACGACACCTGTGAGTGCTCTACCACTGTCCCGTGCCCCAGCCTGGGTGCTGCATCTCGTTCATTATGATCGCTCCCCAACAGATGTAAGCCTATGTTTTGTGTGTAGTTAAGGTTGACCTTGGAACTTCAGCAATGTTTCCTGTTGTGTGGCGTATATTAAGTAATTTTTCTAGCAAACATGCCCCTGTTATAGAAATAAAAATGACCTGAAGACAAAAGAGAAGCAGTTTCTACATTGTAGGGGTAATCAAACCTGGAGTAGACTATCAGCAAAGGAGGTAAAGTTTCCATATCTGGAGAGCCTGAAAAATTGAGACAGAGCAGATTTCCATGAGGGTGGCTGCAGCACTAGATATGTCTGGAAGCAAGTAGACAGACAGAATGACAGAAGGCTCTGGAATTTGATTATTGGCCTGGAGAAGGGAAGGCTGAGGGGAGACATTGAAAATCCTTCAAATACAGAAAATGGAGACTGCTGTTTGCAGAAGGAAGCAAGTTGAAGGAGCTTAGCCTAAATCCCTAGGGGCATAGGTCTCTTCTGTTGTCAAGGGCGTGAAGCCACGGGTTTTGAAATTCTTGTAGAAATCTGCAAAACTAAAACATGTTTATTGTCTGGAGGGATGCAGGAAGTCTACTGCTATGAGCCTGTTGCAATAAAAATATGTTCACTGCTTTGAATAGAGAGAATTGTTTGCCTATATTCTATTGAATGCATAGCATTCTCCAGGGAAATGGAAACTCTCATGTTTTGTAAAGCAGGGAGCATAGTTACTGATTGCTGGCTAGGAGCACTGGAGTCTAGCCAGGAGCCCTTTCCACCTCAGAACACTGGGGCTCCCAGTCAGCAACCATATATGAGCAGGCATTCCAGCAGAGCTCTGCTTGCCCAAGACAGCCTTATTGGGGCCACTGGACCTCTTCTCATTTAAAACAGAAGACTTGGGGGTCAGCACATTTAAGTACTTGCTGTGAAAGAGGAACTGAATCTATTTATTTATTTCCCTTCTGGCATTTCACTGTAATGTCAGCTTTCAGCCACACGATGTCACGATTGGATTTTGATTTTTTTTCACCTGTATTTGGCTCCGCAGATGAAGGCATTTTCAAAGCTGGAACAGAGAGATCTGAAACGAGGGGGGCAGCAGAAGTCCAAGAGGATGAAGACACGCAAGTTGAGGTTCCTGTGGACCAGGTAATCCTCACACCTCTAAGTACCCATGGAAACTGGAAACATAACTTTGATTCCCTTATGTGCTCAGGTGCCAAGGGGTCACATGATCTTCAGAGTATAACTCGGCACCTCCAGTTCTTCCCAGTACCCCTCCAGAAAATATCCACCTGTCTCTCTTTAATGTGAAAATAGTGTGTTTTTAATAATCAGGGGAGACAAGAGGGAACTCCATATAAGCCACAAGCTCACAGAGAAAATCTGATTTTAAAAAAGGAGCCTTGGCTGGGATTTTTAAACTAGGAAAAAAAGAAGTGTTTTTATAATGCCATGATATTCTCTTCTTTGGGGTCTTTGACATTTTTGTGGTTAGTTGTTTTTGTTTGTTTGTTTGTTGTGTGTGTGTGTTTTAAAGAATTGTCATATAAATACAACTCAAATGTTTTCTCTGTGTGTAGTAATTTCCTTTCCTAGACCAGGAGAACAATGTATTCATTTGTGTTTCAGAAAGATGTGTTAACAGAAGAAATTAAGCCATGTTAATTCTGGCTAAATGCAAAAAGTAAGCCAGTTATCCATGTGTTCATGTGTGTGTGAATCTGAGTGTGTGTAGGCATCAAGCATCTTTCTCAGTTGTTCTATATTTTATTTCTGAGATGGGGTTTCTCACTAACCCTGGAGCTCACTGACTTGACTAGACTAGCTGGCTAGCAAGTCCCTGGGACCCATGCCGCTACCTTTTCAACAGTGGGTTAAAGATGTGTGCTATGCCTGGCTCTCATGTGGCTTCTGGACATCTGAAATTAGGGCTCTTTACACACTGAGCCATCTCCCTAGACCCTATCACACTTTGTTTTTTAATAAAGTAATTCTTTATTAAATATGATTAGCATTATAGGAATTATAGGGTATTTTCTTCACTTTCTTAATTTTTACACTCAAAGATTTTGAAGAGTTCATATTGATGAAACAATGAACTTTTGAAGGCCCCCATGTGTGTGCCAACATGTTTACACCTGCATTCTAAAGGAGAGGATAATAAAATTGAAGCCTAATTAACCAAACTGTTGACCCTGGTACCCTCTGCTGTACAGATTATGTTATTCTGGTACTTTTAGGCTTCACATCATATTGAACTCATTTGGAGAACTTTAAAACAAAATACTTGAAACGATTCTATTACACTTTTTAATACATTCATGGCAATTCTATCTGGAGGGTTGGGGTTTAGTGCTAGACTCTGGAGGAAGGGAGTGATGACTAGGAATTGCCATGCATCTGTGACTATTATCTGCTATTTCCTTTTCTGAAAGCAAATTTCACAATAGGCAGATCCACAATTGATCTCCCCACATGTTTGTCTTAGCAGGGCAGCAGCGTGTCTGATGCTTGATTATTTATTCCACCATACTTTCTGCACACACCGTCTTCCCTATGAAAAGCCTGATGTGCTAAAATTCACAGATTTCAAAAATCCAATTTATTTTCTAGGATTTGCTCTCGCTAACAATTTTTCATAAACCCAGTTATAGTTATTTTTTCCCTGGGAGAAAACAGAATTTTAATTCTACTGTGAAACCATAATTAAATATTGTATTTTCAGACAAAGGAGAGTAATCATGTATGTATAAAACTTATTAGTTGTAGAAGCCAAGACTAATTTATATTCTAAAGTTAGAGAACACCATAGCATCCCAGTAAAGGAAATGTCTCTCCACTGATCACTTCTGAAGCAGCGTGTGCAGTTGTGAGAGGCATCTGTTTACTTAGGTGTTTTCTGATTTGGAGGGAGGGGCATGGAAGGGAGAATGGATGTATGATGTCACTAGATCGGCCTTGCATCTGCAGTGCTCGGTTTCTTATGGGCTGTGTGGCGATAACGGAATAAAATACAGCAGGGCAGGAGTGACAGAGAAACCTCAAATGCTGGGTGAGAACGGCACCAGCACACAGACCGACTTGGAGGAAAGAAAGCACATGGCAGAGGCTCTTCCTTGCTTCCTTCCGCTCCTTTCCACACAGTGCTGGGAATCCTCAGGCCCATTGGCTCCTTGCTGGGCACCAGGTGCTGGGGGCTGGTCTCTGAGCCACTTCAGTGTCCTAAGTAGCCATGATCTTAGTATTTGTGAAACCAGCGAGGGTGTGGAGAGATCCACTAGCTCCATAACAATGAGAACAGCTCTAAAGAAGACAACCTGTATGGTCTGCATTGAATAGCAGCTGCCTTTTATCAGGTATACGCTGAGGGCCAGGAACTGCATGATTCTTAAATGACCATGGTGACAACCTGACAGACAGGCCTTCCTTACTATCTTCCCATTCCGTGCATACATACACACATGTAAACATACATACATATATATACATACATATATACATTCATATATATGTGTGTGTGTGTGTGTGTGTGTGTGTGTGTGTGTGTGTAAGTGCATGTATGCATTCATTCTGTTTTCACCATGTAGACAGACCCCAGGGACGGAGGTCTTCAGGCTTGGCAGCAGTCACCTTTACCCACAGCCTTCTCACTGGTCCTGAATGTTTTCTCAAGATGTTTGTATAATGAACGGCCTTGGAGAGCAAAGGCAGTGACTTCCTCAGTGGAGGCAGTTTTGTCTCTAGAGGGATATTTGGCTATTTGTGGGGATGCTTTGTTGTCAAAACTTAGTGAGTTTGTTGGATCTAGTGAGTCATGGCCAGCAGTGTCACTAGTTACCTCTAATGAACATAAGAACCCTCCCCAACAAAAATTATGTTACCCATAATGCCAACAGTGACGAGAGGCCCGGTCTGTTTATTGTCCTCTAATAATAAAGGAAATGGCTCCTTGTTGTTCAAAACCAGGACGGTTTACTGCCCATTATAAAGATTTAATGCCATTGATTCTCATACTTAAGATTGGCTGAGAAGGCAAATTTTTATGCTATGTGTATATATTTTCATAATAAAAGTAATGAAAAAAGATCTAAGCTCCTCAAGCCTGGAGCTCTGATTCTGATACTCAAACCACAGAGAGTTTATTATGCAGCCTTTTCCCATGTGGTAAGCATGGGAAACACCTGTTTTTGACCATTGCATCTGTGAAGCTCTGGAAGATTAGTGTGTTTGCCTTACAGGAGGCAGACCCGCAGTTCGTCATGCCTTTCTGTCTCCAGCATATGTGTTCATGGAGGGCGTGCTGTGGGCTCGTGTATCTATTCTATGGCGAATTTCAGCCAGGAGTTCTGTCCCTAATCCAGATTCATTTTGTTAGTCAGAGACTAGCAACATTCATGGAGTTCTGTTGCTATGGCCATAACATCTGCCAGAGATAATTTAGGAGAAGAAAGGTTTATCTTGTATCATGGTCCAAGTCTATCAATGTGTGGTATGCAGAAGAGAATTCTGGTTGTGTATGATGGACCAGGAATTAGAGAGCAAGACCAGAACCTGGGCCGATGCTATAGACTTCAAAAGCTTCCAGCAGCAAGATTGTACTTCCTAAAGGCTCCATCACCTTTCAGAAGGCGCCACTACTGGGGCACAAGCATTCAAAGCCCAATCCTTTGGGGGAAAATTTCAGAGTCTAGACATTGTAGTGGTGGGCCTAATACTGCTTTGAAACTCATGGGGAGATGCTTATGTATCTAGACAGGCCAGACCAGACCAAATGGCTTTTGTAGTAATGAGAATTTCAAAATGGCCTTATGCTGAGTTGTTTTGTTAACTAGTATAGAAATACCATCCTGAATGCTGGAGCAGACAAAGTTTTATTTTGTTGTTTTAATTGGAGGTATGGCATTTGTTATTTTCTGATGCATATATTTCACCTATATATTCCAGCCGAAGTTGTGTGTGTAATATTTTCAAGGCAACCATTTTGACAAAGGTTACAGCAAAAAGCACAATTCCTCACCCTACATATCCCATCTCTGCTTCTATTCCTGGGGGTAACCAACCTGAATTAATTTATTTCACATTTTCTGGAATATATAATACCCTAATTTAATACCTCTGAGGTCTTTAAGGCTTACATGAGGGCATGTGGCATTTTAATAATTTTATTTTATAATCTTGTCACCTCAGATTTCATGAAACTATCTCTTGATTTTATGATGGGAGCTGGTTACTTGATTGCTCGTCCCTCCTTCCTCCCACCCATAATAAGTCAACACAGTGTACAAACATACCCTTTTCTCATCTTTCTAATATTTTTATAATTATTTTTTCCTGGTTTAATTTTTAATCTGCAAGTTATCCTATCTATGAACCTTCTTTGTAGACTCCAGTTACGCTGTCACCTTCATTCCTCCCTAGCCTGACTATTACCCATTGTTTTTTGCTTAGGTTTCTATACACCTGTTCCTGAAGCTGTGGGTATCCACTTGATCCATTATCCACATTTTTGTGATTATGCAATCTATTTGTCCCCTTTCTCAAGCCCTCTAGTCACCGAAGCTATTTGATTTGTCTTAGCATCTACTTCTCAGATTTGGCCTGCTTATTTTCCTCATCATTATTTGGGGAATTCCCTTTGTTTTTCAGGGGATGGATCCTGGTATTTGGATTACATGTCTTCTTTCTTTGCTAAACCTTCATTAAAGAAAAGTTGTCCCCACAAAATGAAGGTGTAATCAATTTTCCTTTAGTAGTTGCCAGAAAAATGCTTCATAGGAGGTACATTGTATGGGAGAGACTTTTTAGTAGTATTGGGGCTTAAACCTAGGTTCTCATGCATACAGAGGCAAGTGATACAGCCCCAGCGAGAGGTGTTTCATATCTGAGAGTTGCCTTGGTTTCTCTACTCAAACTTGACTGTCAGTATGGCTAGGTATAAAACTTTAGGGTCACGTGACTTCTATCAAGACTTGGAAAACCTTGCTCAATTTTGCTTCCCATTCAGAAGGGCAGTTGAGAAGTTTGGTAGCTTTGCCTTTCCTGAAATTCTGATTGACACTTCCCCCATCTCTGGGTTCATTTCTTTGTTCCTAGCATTCAGACAGTTTCTAAGTAGGCTCCTTGGTGTAGTCTTTTTGCTTGCTAAC